AATCATCATCACTGTAAGAACATTGAGGAGTCTTGCAGAGTGACTCACCCTTCTCCTCTCTGATGGTGGCGTACTGGCTGTTGGCCAGCGGGCAGGACGAGCGGTTACACAACCCCGTGATGTTGAACTCATTCCGACAGAAGCCCTGACTCTTAGTCCTGCGCGCGCGCGGGCACACACACACACACACACACAGTGGATTTATATTGATAACATCGACTACATGTCAGTGTATTCGTTACTGTGCAGCTTTCTACCACGAGTATATATTATGTTATATATTATTTAAGCCTATAATTTAACTTCTGCGCTATTTCACCTGTTTTTATATATTTAATGAGATATGAAGGAGAACGAGATCTCTCTCTCTGTAGCTGTGGTGCACACAAACAATAAAACTATCTGAATGAATGAATGAACAGTTGATGAGTTTGAGACTTACTTGACTTTAAAGGAGCAAAACTGTTGGTTTCCGATAATGTCCCAGATCACCTGAACACATCACAGTCAACACGTCAGAATACAACACTGCTGGTGTGTTAATAACAACAACAATAATAACAACAATAACAATGTGTTCAGTGTTACAATAGTAGCACAAAGAGCTGCTTGGCAGCTACATTCTGAATGTATAATATTCATTAATAAACTCAACACACTGAGAAGCTCTGAGAATATTCAGAAGAGAAACATGAAAATAAAAGTTAATAAAACGATGAATAGAAGAAAATAATTTCCCACAAAAGTACCAACATGTCTGAGTGACGTGTTGGAGATAAATACAAATAAAAAGACTTTAGAGTGTGACGTCACATTAGACAAACAAACTGGGCCCATCCAGCTCATTGTTAAGATATGAAACAATATTTTCCAGATTAATCATAAACGTATAAAAGAGGACTACAGTCAGTCACGTGCTGCTGAATGAAGTCCACACACGATGTTACTGCAGTGTGAGTGTGTATGTGTGTGAGAGTGTGCGTGAGGTTAAATTGTGTGAGTGTGTGTGTCTGTTTACAGAGAAGTCAGACATTAAAACAGATGTTTGTAGAACGGAGTCACGTTCCCAGCTAGCTGACAGTCAAACCGTCTAAACACGTTAATAAAACACTACAGTTCTACCTGTATGTATTAGTAAAGATGACTACTGTAACTACTAGACAACACATATAATATAGATATATTTTAAATAGTCTACATGTATCCTCTTTAAAACAGTTACCGGTAAGCTAACGTTAGCATGAGGCGTTAGCAGAGCACATTAGCGGCTTTAAATAACTGTATTTATTAAACTCACGTCGTCGTGTTGCATCTCGAGTTGTGCGCAGCTTCACCTCCACCACACTTCTGTTTGTTTTCTGATATTTAAAGAGTTGATATTAAGTTCTGAACGAGTTCTTCTGCCTCTGTGAGCCACATGGACGGTCAGGGAGCCACCATCTTTGTTTGCATGGGTGAAGTCTCGGCGTAGTGACGTCACTCCAGCGAGGAAGTATCGCGAGATTTGGCATTACTTTTTTTCCACAATACTTCTCTGTTTGTAATGTTCTTTATACAAATATGTAAATGTACTAAATATTCATATAATATTCGTTTTTTAATGAAAACCTAAAACAACCAAAAGTTAAAGAAAGTTTTACTAACTACTATAAATAATAATTACTTATTATTTTATTGGGTTTTATGTGTAAACGTGAACAGGATTCTGCTGTAAACTAATGAGATTTTAATTAATGTATCAATACTTTTTTATTTTCTAAATTAAAACTAAACATGTGATGTTGATGTAATAATGATAACGTGACACCGTGATTCAAAGAGCGGGAGAGGAACTACACAAAGATTGAGCGCCATCTCTGAGGTTGTGATCTTTCCGGTTCATGAGTATGATGATTGGTGCGTTCACGGACTATCCGTGAAAGGTGCAGCCCTCTTGTTACGCCTCAAACCGTATGAACTGAACCGGAAATCATGACGTCATGTCTACTATAAATAAAACAATATCTGTGATTTAATCCTGAAAGTATATATTGTGCCTCTGAAGGCAGAAACTGGAATATATATATATATAT